GAGATGTATGGTAAAGGTGAGATGAAGAAAGTGGTGGAATTCATCTCTTCCATCTTGCTCTAGCTAGCTAATAAGTATTTATTATTATGAGTTAATAATATGTAAAATTTTTATTTTATAAATTAACTCATGATAAATATATACTTATTTATGTTAAATAGAGAAAATGAGTTTTTATGTGACTAATGTGAATTTTTTCTAATTATGTAATTTTATATAATTTTATGTACATTTTAGATTCATGTATTTGTGATAAAAAAAGGATAAAATGTAAAAAAAAGGAGACCCAGTAGCAAGCTATGACCTACAAGCTGACCTAGAGGGTGCTACACACAAGTTGAAAACTTAGTTAGGGAAATCATGAGTTGGGGCCTTGAGTAACCAAAGACTCATGTAGAACATGTGTACATCACTCCCCTTCTATTTTATTGGGGACTAGTTGAGCATGAGGCAGAGTATTTGTATACATGTGTATGTGGAGGGGGATCATGTTGAGACCTTAGCCTCAACAAGGAATCCACGTGGCCCAAGATCCCGGATCCAATCACAGAAGGTAATTGGGTGGACGGAACTTATGCAAGAAACATCTAACAGCTAGTGACAATCGAACAGTCAATGACCAATGAGGACGACGACTGTTAAGATCTGCTTAACGGTTAGCAGGGCTGGTCGAGCCGTTAGGCGACCACAAAGATTCGTATCGAACGACCTCAGTAACCTGGCAGCCCTCGGTTATAAGAAGTGGAAGAAGAGGAAGAGAGAAAGAAAACAAAAAGAAAGAAAGACTTATGGAGACCCGCCATCTCGAAGAGGCGACCCATCTGGAGAACTCATGCGAGAGCTCTCTATATCCTACCCTCCTGTGTATCTCTCCCCCTCCCCTAAGTTTTTCACGCTCTTCGGAGTCCGAGGATCCTCACTCTGTATTCGGGGTTCGTGAATCAGTGGAATTTCAGCATCTTATCTCCTCCTTCCTTCCTCAGTGGCCATCCTTGGGTCGAGTGTCGGTCATCCCACCTGAGGCATCTATCAACCTAGTATCAGAGCACAGTAGGCCCTCCGCCATGCCACCCAAGTCTCAGGACAACCAACTCGAATTCATGGAGAAAGAATTCAAGGAATCTCACTTAGAGCAACAACAACAATTCGCGGTTTCCAAGGCCGACAGAGACGCCCTTCAGAAAGAACAGGCCAAGCTCAAGCGCCAACTAGAAGACGTCAAGCAACAGCAAAGGACGACGAACCCCAACAGGAAGACGTCAAGCAGGAGCACATGACGAAGAACCAGCAACTTAATGCCGTTGCCAGGGCCCTTGAGTCCCTCCAGCTGACCTTGAATCAGTCCTTCTCCACAACCAACCATCGTTCCGGAAAAGAAAAGATATTCCGGAGTACCATTCATCTTCTTCGATGAATGGTATTCCGGAGAACCGAGCCACGAGAAATCTTACCCACCCAAAAAAAATGAAAAGGGATTTGCGAGACATCATAACTCAGTCCACGATCCTCCAGCCGGCCAACCAAGCTCTCACCGGCAGTCCACCAAATTATGGCAAGGGCGAATGGTGGAACTACCCACTTTCTATGGACCGGGACCCAAGAGCTGGATCTTCAGAGTCGAGCTATTTTTCTCCACGCATTGGGTTCCGGAGCAACAGAAACTCAAGTTAGCTGGATTAAGTATGGACGGGCTCGCTCTACACTGGTTTTAGTGGGCCATGGTTCGACACCCCTTCCAGAATTGGGACGATTTCCGCAATAATCTGTTGGAAAGTTATAACCCGAATCAATCCAACTCCTTATATGATAAACTATTGGGTCTCCGCCAATAGGGGGTATAATTGCCGAATACTGGGAAAACTTTGAGATCATCACCATCATCATTATGGACATCTTGGAGCCAATGCGGACAAACACCTTTCCACGTGGTCTAAAGGAAGAAATCCAGGCCGAGGTCGGGGTATTGTATCCCAAAGGACTTGAGAAAACAATGAAGACCGCTCAACGAGTGGAGGCCAAGCTTGAGACACTATCTCATCTGTCCAGAATGACCCAACCTCGTCTCTCGAGACCCTTAGAAGAGTTAGCAGTTGGCCGGGAACCCCGATGAACTGGAGTTACAGATTTCAGTAACATCCACCGAGGAGAGAAAGCCTGGGTTCCGGGGCTGCTTTAGCCGACTCGAGAATAGTGGACAATAGTGCGATGGATCAGAGGAAGAAATTGACTCTCATTGCTACACAAATTCAAGAACGATAGGTTAAAGGTCTGTGTTTCCATTGCAATGACATTTTCTCCCCAAGACAAAAGTGTCATAGAGAACTATAGATTCTCTTCACTCCAGTAGAGACAGATTTCTTAGAGTGCTAGGAGTCAACAAGGGAGACCCACCAATTACAAGCAGTTTGTTCTCAACATGGAGGCTATTCTACAGTGCTTAACAGACAAGCATGAAGCTTTGAAGTTTCAAGGAAAAATTAGGAGCAAACTTGTCACGATCCTGGTGGACACTGGTGCAACCCATAACTTCATCAACAACCAATTGGTCCGGGACCTGAGATTGCCCCTGATCCAAATTTCTCAATATAAAGTTATCACCAGATCCAGGGAGAAGGTGGAGGGCACGAAGCTGGCACCTCGGATTTTCGTGGACCTACAGAGCGTCCATATCTATGTGACTTCCTCTCCTTTCCTCTGGCCATAGTGAAAGTCATACTTAGTATGAAGTGGTTAAAATCTCTTCATCAATTTGACGTGGACCTTGATGCAAGAACCTTCTCCTTCCACTTTGGAATGGAATGAGTGGTCCTTAAGGTGGAGCAGACCGAAAAATTGGCAGAGATTGCACTCAAGTCATTATCCCATCAAGTAAAGGTAGGTGATCTTTGTTTTGAACTCTTTCAACTATCTCAGACTAACTAAAGTTCCAATCACACCTCGGGGGAGGAACGACTGCCGCAAGCATTCCTAGAGGTGTTTGCAAAGCCTTGTAGTTTGCCGCCACAATTGGAGGTTGATGATCAGATCAACTTACACCCAGAGGTTATGCCCGTCAATATCTGACCATTTCGCTACCCCTACTTCCAAAAAGACAGAACTAGAGAAGATGGTGGAAGAGATGCTTAAGACCGGCATTATACAGCACTCACAAAGCCCCTATTCGAGCCCATCATTACTAGTTAGGAAGAAAGACGACACTTGCAGGAAGAAAGATGATATGTTGATCTATAGCCAGGGTAAAGAGGAACACCAAGGTCACTTGAATCAACTCTTCGAGATTTTGAGCCAGTATCAGCTACGAATCCACCCAAAGAAATGTTGCTTCGAGTAGCATCAGATCATCTACCTCGAGCACTAGATCTTGGCAGAAGGGGTCGAGATGGACTAGGAAAAATTCCAAGTCGTGCAGAAGTAGCCAACCCCCCCGTAATCTACAAGAGTTGCGAGGATTCCTAGGCTTGTCTGGATATTACCGGCACTTTATTGTAGGATATGGGATGATTGCCCGCAGTCTAACCCAATTACTTAAACGCGATGCATTCCACTAGGGAGATGAGGTAGAAGAGATATTCCAACATCTCAACAAAGCCGTAACCTTTGCTCCAATTCTCTCCCTACTAGATTTCTCCTATCTGGGGCATCTATCAGATCACCTGGCTTAGTCCTCTCTCCAAGTGATCTTAGTCGTTTTGTTTATGGGAGAAGGAAGTCAAAGAGAGGAGGTAGAGAATTACAGTCATCTCAAATACTCGCATAAAATTGATGTGGGACTAAAACTTGGTCAAAACACATTGACAAAATAATACTTAAAATATCTCTATAGTATTAGAAGGAAATGTGGTCATGAACTCATTCTTTTGGGGTATTTTGGTCTTTTGATTAACCCTTTTTACATAATTAGATAATTGACAATTGTTTGAATCTCATTAGAACCAAAATTTATATTTTTATTTATTTAACTCGTGATTTTCTTAAAGAGTATTAGTCAATGATCAAGTACTCAGGATTACTCAATCATTAACAAAAAAATTGTCAACATTATTCACAAATTATCATTAGTAATTGACCAAGAATTTTGAACATAAAAATCATAAATTCTTTGAGAAAATCATCTCTAATTGATCAATGAGTATGCCATCATCAAGAATAAGATGATTTGTTGAGATACGAGTTGCCACCTCTTTAGAGCATACCAAATATAATACTAACATCTGACATTCCTCTGATTATGTCTATTAAGATTTGATGTCCATTCAACTTCTCTTTCTATCCTTTGATACACATGTTCACAAGTTTGCATAAACCAATGAGAGTATTATAGCATCTAACAAGTTTATGATGTACAAGTCACAATACATTGACTAATTTTTTTATAATAATGATTTTTCATATTGTTGAAAAGCATAAAACGTCAATTTTTTTTTTCAATGCATCGCTTTCTTGTGCTTAACAATTTAAAGAGTAATGTATAACCATCTTAAAAACTTGTGAACATGTGTATCAAAATTCTAATTTGCCATTCAAATTTATCAATGAAATTATGTTGATATATGATTATTTTGATGCTGACTAAGTGCTCATATATCATCAAAAATATTCGAGTGCAGCTTACCAAGCTTCACCCGTATGTGACAACTCATGTTGAAAAATATTAAAAGGCTAGCATCCAATCACTGTAGGACACTTGGTAGTCCTATATGCTTGATAACCATTGTAAATATATTTGATATGAGTTACAAAAAAGGCCACTAAATTCTGAATATGTTATTCATAACGAATTAATTAATTGAAATGAAATGGTCTTTATTATGCGGCGCGTGAAATCCAAGTCAATTGAGAAATCGTCATCCATGGAATTCACACGGCCTGGGTCCCACGTACATCCGCCCGTTCAAGCCATGCGGTAAAAGGTATGTGGAGTATGGGGAACTGTACTGTTGCAACCCCAAGCGCAGCGGCAAGCCGGGGCTGATGGGCGCATCAGCCACCTAAGCGGTTCCTCACTTGGTGAGCTCCATGATCCAGAGGCCGAAGGCGGTGCACACCTTGGCAAACCCCGTGAACCCCGCGCCCTTCGCCAGCGACTGGAATTCCTCCTCAGTCCTCTCTTTGCCGCCAGGGTTGTAGGCGAGCATGAGCAGATCCCCCAGGAACAGGGTCTGCGCCTCCCTGGTCCTCTCCGGGGTCTGCGGTAGAATGCTCTCCATGACGATGACCTTTCCCAGATCCGGCAGCGCCTTCCAGCGGTTCGTCAGAACCTTCAGGCAGTTCTCGTCGCTCCAGTCGTGAAGGATCCACTGCAAACCCAACTTCGAGAGAGTGTTAAAGCGAGTAGATAAGAGAGAGAGGAAGCAAAGCAGGGAAATCAATGGTGAGAGAGTCGATTACTTTCATGAAGATGGCGTCTCCACTGGGGACGCTCGCGAACATATTGCCCCCCACATGCTCCACTCCTACGCCAAGAAAAGGAGAATTCTTTCAATTAATGCCTACCTGGCTAATTCTTCCGTCGCCACAAGAAACTAGTGGATGTGAATGAACCGCGAGGACTGGGGGCTGTGCTGGCCTTTGTCGTACCTGAAAAGGAGGGCGCATCGGCGATGACATGGGGGAGATCGAAGTTGATACCCTTAATGGATGGGTGCTTGGAGATGATCATGTTGAGTGTCGCGCCGATCCCGCCACCAACGTCCATCAGAACCCCAAGCCCGTCGAACCCCCCGTAGATCTCCAGCATCGTCTTCACGGTGATGGTGGAGTTGTTGAACATTGTGGCCTTGAACAAATTGTTGAACCTGGGGTCGGTCCCATTGTACTCTGACGCCGTCATTCCGTGGGCCTTGTTGAAGGGGATTCCCCCCCTGCAGAACCGAGTCCTTCAAGTAATACCAGCTCTCGATGGAAACCTTGTCCTGGTTCATGAGAGTTAGAGGGGCCACAGAGACGCCATCCTCGTTCGGTGTGAGGAACCTTGAGACAGTGGCCCATAGCGTCTGCGGACCTTTCCGCCATCGCCGTTGACGACAGAGTAGGTGGGGATGTAGTAACTGGCGAGGAGGCGGAGGACACGGTCCACCATGACTGTCGCCTGCGGGTTCTCAGTGGGAGGCTAGGTGACAATCTCCTCGGGGAAGAGTTGGGCGCCGGAACCAGCCCGATTAATTATCTCGAAGAGGTTCAGCTCGATTGCCGCCTTGAGAGCCATCGGGAGAACGGTTGTCCATACCAGCTGCATGGCGTAGGTGAAAGCCTCGTGCTCCTCCTCCAGCGTGGTCATCCTCGCCTCGTCGGGGACCGATCTCGTGGGAACTACGATCTCTGATCTGGAGACTACTGACGCCTCCCTCTTCCCCTCTAAAGGTTTTTATTGAGTTTTTTTGCGCCTAGTCTCTGACTACCAACTAACTCAAGGTCTTTCGGGTCGTTGTCTGCTGGAACGATTTGGTCCACCAAATCCCTACTGAATCGGTATCTCTCGCTTCCTCTCTGTCCGTCCATGCGTCTCTGTCTCTGTCTGCCTTTATCTCTACGGCGTTGCAGATGCCCATTAATTAGAAAGCCGGAGCTTGATCTCTAGAGTCGACGTTGCTTAAACTGGGGTTGTTCTTCGTCAATCGAGCTCCTGCGTCCTTCCCCTGGATCACAAAAGGAGCTTTGTTGACTGGGTACCCGCTCTCGTTTGCCAAAAGGAAGGCCAGCGCCAACAAGTCCTCAGGTCTTCTTCGTTCACCAAGCCCGTCAACAAAAGAAACAGAGGTAGGAACCCACGGTACGCCGCTAGTGGCTATCTTCCCTACCTTCACTTTGAGTTGTGAATTAAAAATAACTAAACTATTTCAACAGTAACTCATTAGAACTAGAATAGGCTGAGTTATCCGAGTCTTTTGAAATAAATCATCATTCCGAACACGATGAAGTCACGTCAACTTGTTTGACTCATGGTCCATCAGTGGAACCCAACGCACTCAACTCATCAAATGAAGTATGCATTTGACCATTAGTTTGCTTTTTCTTAAAAATTAAGTCCCAGTAGGCAGATTAGTTTCTTGGCTGATACAGAAAATTAATTTTTTTTCTTTAAGATGAGTAGATGAACTTGTTCAAATAATTATTTTCATTCTAGGAAATAATTTATAAACATGTTTATTTATGATGAAAAATTACATAATCTAACATTGAATCTAGTTTGATTTTTTTTGAAAATATGGTTTTAGGCCTCAAAAATCATGTATATATCAAGTAATATTAAAAAAAATAAAAAGACCAGAATTAGGAGTTAAAGAAAATTATCAAATGAAACCATAAAAATTATCAAATGATTGTACACATAGGAAAAAGAGATTCATTACTTAGAAATATGATATTACTATATATTCACCTAAAACTTCAACGTATAAGTGATGTGGAAGAAAACCCGCATCACACCTTCCTCCAAAAGGCTTCGAAGATTTTAATATCTAAACTATCTCTTACTTATAATAAAGATATACTATGATGATGTCACTTGATAAGGGCATTAGAGTACTTATTTCAATCTCTCTCATGTAGGCGAGCAATTGGCATAGGTTTAAATCTTCTTAAAACTAAAATTCATATTTTTTATCTAATTATTGCAACTTTTTTGTAGATTGCCAGTAAAAGATTAAGTGGTCAGAATCGTTAAATCATCGACAAAAATTTCATCAATACGATTTGTGAAGTATGGTTATTAAAATTGTTGAACGATTTACGATAAAAAGATCATGAATCAATTGAGTAAATCACCTCTGATTGATTAACAAACAAGCCATCGTCGGGAAGAGGATGATCCGCCAAAAGATGAGTCGTCACCTCTTGAGAGCATACGGATGTGATGAAGAGCCTCCTCTTACTATGCAAACTTGAGGATGAAACTCCTTGACATATGCCCCACCTCCATCCAACTCTTTTTCGTCGGGTGACAGTTATCGGAGAGCTGCAAAGTTATTATTTTTCTGCTCTACTGAGTGACTACCATCAAAAATGATTCGACAACCTATTGTATTAATCTCTAGACTTCGCAAAGAGATATAAAGATTGTCCACATCATCTTTGTCCAAAGAAACCGTTTGAGGCTATGGACACTGTACGACAATCCTCCTGAACGCTCAAGATTCTAATACATCATCGACACAACTTAATTTCTACTTCATTTACTAATAATTTGTGTGATTTAAATTTTCTAAGTTATACTTTATTCAACTACAATTCTTTTGACTTTTATAGATCTTAATTTGATCAATTAAAACGTCTATAGTCACTTACGTATAAATTATCGGGCGGAACTCTATTTCTACTTGATTTGCGTTTGTTGGACATTGACATCACCTCAACGTCAGCACCCTTATTTCTTTTTTTTGTAATTTTAAATATATTTTATTTTTATTTCTTAGTATAAAATTGATAAAAACTCATATTCTTTGAAGACAATTCTAAAAAATTACCCAATCTTATATTACATCTATGTGATCAACCTAGAAAGTTATCACTATTTTAATAAGTTTTATTAAATTATAATTAATATATTTGTTCAGAAATACTTTTAAATATCTGAAAATTAATATTTTCTAGTTTTATAAATTTTAAATTTTAGGTGATTTACTATACAACGACTAAGTCACGTCAGCAAGTGAGTCAATCCCTAGAGTTTGTATTGTTCCATCAAAAGAAATAATAAGAACAACATTTGAAGGAACAAACAACATGTTCCAAGAAAAATGATTGCAAAAGCAAGATATATAGGTGACAAATGGTAATCATCTAACAACATCAGTATGAAGAACGTCCAAAAAACATCAAGGTGACATGTGACATTGTTCCCACACCACAATAACATGTGATATTTCATCTATTTCATCTTATGATCCTTGTGAGAAAATTTTGGCAAAGTTTTTTCACATTCAAATGGCTTTATTTGCTCAAATCATCTACATCAGCATAGAGACACCTTTTAAGCACCCATACATCACTTCAAATTCATATATGAAGATCATATGAAGTTAAGTCATAATTTCAAATCATTACAAGTCTTAGTATCCCAAATGGTTTTGAAGTTAGTAAGTCAAGCAATGTAAATACTGCATCAACTCTACTATGTCGTTCACAATATTATGTGTTGATACAAGCTATAATATGACAACCCTGAAAATTCGTAATTTATGGAAATAGCTTTAGTTCATCTAAACTATTGTATAATACAACAATAGTAATTCATCCCCTTCATTATGTTGTTATAGGGTTTTTAGAAAACCAACAGAAGCAAGCAAGTCAATCGTCAGTATGCTTAATCTTGTGCATTAATTTGGTCCGTTCTTGTATAAAGTCACCTCATTTTCTGAAAATAAAATCAAGAAAATAGTGTGTCAAATGTGACCATTAATTATATGTTACCATTAGATTTTCTTGAAGAATAATATCTGACTATACTTTATGATTCCCAATTAAATAATTACATTTTCCTAATAAAACTCTAAGGGCTTAATGTTTTTTATATTTATCTTCATGTTTTCAATGTCTACTAATAAAAAACTTCTTGATTTCTGGTAAACGAAGTAGTTCGGATAAAATAAATAATTTACAAAGCCAAACTCTCATACAAATTTAGCTTGAAATTCTTATATAAATCTATGACTGTGGTAGCTGAATTATTGATTATAGGGATCAACTCTTGTAAATAATTAAATACATAAGCAAGAACGTTAATTTGGTATTTTCTTGATGATAGTGTAGTTTGGATTATATTTGTACAGTTGGTGAAGATAATGATGAATTGTATCTTGATTTTCTTTATCCCTTTACATTAGGAAGCTGGCTGATTGATGAAGATTTTGTCACTTCAATAATGGTAGGAAGATGACATGTTCATTGAGTTTAGGTTTTCAAGTATTGTCTTATTGTTTTTTGACTAGTTATGACAATTTCTCAAATTCATAGTAATTTTTGCTGTAAAATGTTAGCGATAATCTAAAGATGGTGGAGTTAGAGGCAAATGTATGGATCTTACTAGTTGCTGGACATATACTGAACATATAAAGCTTCTTTTAGAAGCCTGCTCTATTTTCAACATCTCCCTAGTGAGAGTGCTTAAAATTAGTTAGAAATTTTATTGAAAGTAAGCACTACAACACAAATATCTGAAACTTAATGATAAATTCAATATCGTTAAAATAACACCTAATAACACAAGTCAAATAGACACATGAAATAATGATACTAATATGAAAAATTATTTTAATAACCAATAATAATATAATTATTTTCCAACTATTATTTTTCAATATTTAAACCTTCATGATAAATAATTTATAAAATATAGATAAAATTGATAAATTTAATATCTCAAATGATCAAAAGTTTTTATTTAATATTCTTAACAACTATTACACCAAGAAATCTTTCATACTCATTTGTCATCTGAAAAAATTCTCATTAATTTTAAATAGGCTAATTATTATGATCTATCATTGTTAGTTTATATAAATATTAGTGATTTGGACAATTATTTGGATTATTTTTTGGATATTTCAATATCATTACTATGTGTTATTCCCGAATTTATCCTGAGTTGAATCCATTATCATGTTTAAAATAAGTTTTATTCATAATTTTGTACACATTGATGAATAATCTTAATTCACCCCATCAATCTTGACACATTTTTTTATCATCAAAATGTTATTCATCTACTACTTTAACAATCTGGCTCTTTTTAGTGATAGCAATTGTTTGATTTTAGTTGGCACTTAGATCAAGGAAGTGTTGGATTTGTCAAATATTAATTATTCAACCTCAGTACACTATTTTTGTGATCTTCTATCTTGTTAAATTGATGCTAGTCTTAAACTTTTTTATTCTAAATGCAAAGGTTATTTGATATTTTGAAGCAGTTTGACCGCCTACCTACATTCATTCTTCAATTTTTCAGTTTGACCAGACCAATCATCTAACACTAAAACTATTCATTCTGAGGATCATATCTTGTCTAATTTCACTTTGAAATTTTATACCAGATTTATTACTCTATGAGGCCTGCTACTAATATACGATGCCATCCCTTGAGTGATCAAATCAAGATTGATCACAAGTTCTTCCAACAAACATGAAGAAGAAATTCACCATGGTTTTGGTAGACCAAGACATTGACTTAGAGTGCATTCAGATTTTTGAAGATGAAGATGGTGATAAAAACTTATTTTTACTGCCTTCTTCTAGTAGGAAAGCTAAGTAAATATATGGTTCATTGTTGCTTTGATCAGATCGAGGAGGATCTCAGGTAGCTCGATCTTTTTTCATTGATTCATTGTCTCCTTGTCATTTGACTGGCTGACAAGACTAATTTAATTTACACACAATCTTCTACACAAAATATCAACAATGTTCTTGAGATGATAGATGGGCCAAAGCTATGATCATTCCTCTCTATATTTTCTAATCTACAAGCTTTCTATTACTTTCAAGACCATTTTTCATCTTATAGTCTATGGGTGTTTTGGTTCTTTGTTTGTACTTAAAGACCATACTTCTTTAAGAGTTAACAAATTATAATTCACTTATGAATGTTGCATCTTCGAATTTTTTATTTGTATTCCTAGAAAAGATATAAATTCACCAATAATAGTTATCTCAAATTTATTTCCATGATCTCACAGATTTCCATCAGAAGATGCTGCCAGCAAGTGCAAAACCCAAAATAGAGAGAGAGAGAGAGAGAGAGAGAGAGAGAGAGAGAGAGGAGGTCAGAGATGGATAAACACGGTGGGAATATAAATGGGCATGTGAACCCATTCACTCGTTTCATAATATCCCAAGTTTCTAATTTATGTAGTTCTATTTTTCTCCGTTTAAAAGGAAGAAAAGTTTGTTATATTTTATTTGAATCCTTCTCGCGCTTTTCCGGGGGTAATAGACTTGAAACTCGGGTTATGTCCTCCATTTACTGTTACGATTGGGGGCAATCTGGGAAATTGGGAAGCCCTCCTCTCGCCCTTGCTGGAGGCTATATAAGTACAGCCCGGGAGATGGCCCGCTCTCCATCAACTCATAGCAAGAGAGCGAAAGAGAGAGGGAGAGAGTAGAGAGAGTATGGAGGGGTGGCAGTTTCTGGGATTGGTTAGTTATGGCGGCGAGGTGAGGCGCCGGGGACAGTACGCGGCGCTGGCTAGTGAGGAGGAGACGCCCGCTGTGTACAGGCATCCGAGTAGAGGGAACGGCGGCGCGAGCGCGGAGGAATGGCGGCGGCATCGGAGGGCGGAGCCAGGCTGGCGGCCGCTGCTCGATCCGTTACTGGAGGAGGGAGACGAGGCCGCTCTCCTGGAGGCGTTTTCTAATGTTGCCGCTGTGAAGAGGAAGAAGCCTCGGAGATCCGTCTCCTTGGCGGCCGCAATGGCACAGGCGTACTCCTGGATCAGAGGGTGATCATCTCTTCTCGCTCTCTATTTCCCTCTCTATCTGTCTCTCAATAAGAGGAGGAATCATTTTTTTTTAGGGATCTGGACGATAACCTCTGCTCCCTTTTCTTCCCAACTAACGCAGGGAATTCGTTGGTGAATCGGCCTTCCCGACTTCCGTTCCATGGACCATGACATTCTGAGCCGTACGGTAACGGCAAGACGAAGAAAGCGGCAGAGAGCTGTCGGGTGGAGATCCTCTCCTTCATTCTCCTTCTCTGCTCTTCTGTTTTCCCCCTTATTCCCGCGGAAAGCATGCGACCCATTGTACAGATCGAAGCCACTCAGTCTGCTGCTCAGGCGGGAGATAGTTTATGTCATCTCCAAATTCCTCTGATTGTGTCTGTCAAGATCTGACGTCCAATCCGTCTTTCCAGCAGATGATTTGGGGAGAGAGAGAGAGAGAGAGAGAGAGAGAGCGCGTCTTTTGCGTCTCTCCCCTTCCGCTTCTCCCGGCCCGTAGCGAGAAGCAGCCGCGGCTTCTTCCTCTTTCATATCTTCCCCCTCTTCTTTTTTCCCGAATCGGAGACCTCAGCGGTTGTCCATGGAACTCCCATGGCTGTCTCGACAGTAGATCTAAGACGTTCACTGCCTCGACAGTAGCTCTAGTTGGTTAGCGACGATATCGCATGCTTCTACCCTGCTCAACAAATCAGTCGACTCTCTTGCTTTGATACCTATTCCAGGTTGAGGTGTCACTACGCAGACAAGCTAGCCGACTACTTCAACTCGTCAGGAAGATTGGTCATTCGTCTGATTGTTCATGTTTTATCGGTCAGACAATGCTAACTGTACATAGAGAGAGAGAGAGAGAGAGAGAGAGAGATGAGAGAGAGATGAGAGAGAGGTGAGAGAGAGATGAGAGAGAGAGAGAGAGAGAGAGAGAAGTGGAGAGAGATGAGAGAGAGAGAGAGAGAGAGAGAGAGAGAGGAGAGAAAGATGAGAGAGAGATGAGAGAGAGAGAGAGAGAGATGAGAGAGAGATGAGAGAGAGATGAGAGAGAGATGAGAGAGAGATGAGAGAGAGAGAGAGAGAGATGAGAGAGAGAGATGAGAGAGAGATGAGAGAGAGAGAGAGAGTATGGAGGGGATGAAGTTACAGGGATTGGTGAGTTACTGCGGCAAGGTGAGGCGCCGGAGACAGTGCGCGGCGCTGGCGAAGGAGGAGGAGACAGCCGCCGTGCACAGGCATCCGAGTAGCAGGAGCGGCGCCGCGAGCGCGAGGAGACTGCGGCGGCCGCGCAGGGCGGAGACACACTGGCGACCGGTGCTCGATCCGATACCGGAGGAGGAGGTCTTCCCGAGGGAAGCGAGGCGGCGAATCCGACTGTTGCCGCTGCGAAGAGGAAGAGGCCTGGGAGACCCATCTCCTTGGCGGCCGCAATGGCGGGGGTGCGCTTCTGGTTCAGAAGGTCATCATCTCTTCTCGCTCTCCAGTTTCCTCCTCTATCTCTCTCATCGTTCCGTGGATCTCGAGGACGATCTCTTATCCTTCTTCTCCGCAACCAACACAGGGATATCGGCGGTGAATCGGCCTTCCCGACTTCCGTTCCCTGGACCATGACATTCTGAGCCACACAGCAAATGGAAGACGAAGCAGCAGGAGATGAACCGTCGAGAGGAAGTCCTGATCCAGCCTCCATTCTTCCTCTGCTTTCCTATTCTTCGTTTCCCCCTTATTTCCGCCAAAAAGCATGCGGCGTGCTGTATAGATCATGGCAAATCAGGCGCTGCTCAGGCTGATTTATGTCTTCTTCAACATTCCCATGAGCAGGTTGGTTTAAGATCTGACGTTCATCGACATGGTACGCAAAATCTTCTAGTATCGTTCATTGACGTTCATCTTTAGAAATTATCATTGGACACTTAGTTTGCTTTTTTCTTCATAATTTTTGTCTCAGTAGGCCGACTGGTTTCTTAGTTGTTATAAGATGAGTAGACAAACTTGTTTGAATAGTTATTTTTATGCCCGAAAATGATCTCTAAAGATATTTATGATGAAAACATACCAAATCCAAGATCCAAATCTTTAGATCTAGTCTAATTTGTTTTCAAAAATTTTGTTTCAGGCCTCAAAAATATTAAAACAAATCAAAAGAAGCAAAGATATGAGTTTAAGTATTATAAGAATAAAAAAATTTCAAGTTAAACCATTGGAAAAGAGGCGAATGAATCAACCCATAGAGTCATATACATATCAGCGAGAGTAAGTGCCAAGGCTCTAAAATGGCTGCAAGATTCCGTCGGCAAAACCCCTATCACTAGTACTTGCATATCAAACAATAACTCTAAAGAAAGGAGTCACATTATGAATTGAGATCCTCTGTAGAATTGGGAGCCATAGACCAGGATGATGACCAGAATGTGTAGTACGTGAATATCCATATGCTGATTGTAGACAGAAGAAATCCAACCATCTCGTCCGAAATCCCATCTCTTCTAGATAAAATTTCCCTGGCTCCAATCAGTGCCACGAAAGAATTGGGGATGCGAAATGAAAGCAGCAACACAATCATTTAGGGGTAAAATATAAAGAGAAATGATGAAAACTACCAAGATACTCCTCGGAATGAGGTCAAACCCTGATGGGACTATGAAGCCATAATCGCCTCTATGAAATATGCATCGTACTGTGCAAATTCTCATCCATGCTCATTTCCAGCATGCAGTTCAGCTGGTGGTGGCGGAGTTCATCAATGATCGTTCTCTGCGCAAGCGGATTCTCCTACCTGAGAAATGAATCTTCGACAATGCGTCGATCGGGACAAAGGAACTTACTAGCATAAAGGGAGATCTCCTCCTCCAGAGGCCAGAGAGATTCTCTGGATTTTTCCAGCTGAAGCCCTGCACTCTGAGCTCCGGCCAGTGTTTGAGAGGAGAAAGAGGAGTGGGAAAGGTACTAGCCACAATGGGCCAGCCCAGCCGTGCTAAATGGGTAGTCTCTCACATCTTTCTCCCTATTCAATTATCTATCAACCTGTCTATGCCTATGTTTGTGGCACAAATTTCCATTCAACATTAGTTTATTCATTTCATGCATGAATATTGATTGTTTTATCCATGAGTTTCTCTTAATGTATAGCTTTTTGTCGATAATCAATGGTCTATAGATCATACAAATTTATGATTCTAGTATGCGGAATTCACCAAATTATCTTTTACTGAATTTTTTTCATCATTAAAAAAGTTATACCTCTAAAACCTACAAAAAAAATGATCTCTGTCTATGAGAAATATGTACTCCTGTGTATGAGACTAAGAGTCCAACCTTCACCAGGTTAGGAACACAGCAGGAACAATTCCAGAGCAATCCCCAAATAACGGAAGACTGGAGGACTTGGAGCCTTGGCATTTACTCTCGCTGGTATGTATATATCATAGATTGCTTGCTGAACATGACTAGAAATATAGCACCTGATCTTCGTTTAAATCTCCATATATTGACATACTTGCTTATGTGCTGCATCATATCACATTGACTGAGATTCAGATATCCTTGTTATGTAATTAGCCACCATTTATTGGCAGTATGTTGCAATATATGCAATAAATGAAGTTTTGGTGGCACCCATTTTTATGGTTTCAATGATGGGTCGATAATTTCGCAGATGTTATATGTAGACTTCAAAGTTCGTCTCCATGAGAGTACAAAGTTTAAATTGAAACATAGCTCAAAGTTTTGGATAAGAGACCTAGAACATTGTCGAACATATTATATCTTGATTGAAGGTGTCTAGAACATGCTAGCCAGGGTCCCTTCTATGTTACATGTTATCATGCATAGCGTGGTCTTCGCTGGCTAAGAGGATGAGAGTAGACAAGAGAACTTAGGCACTCATAAGCACTGAGGTCTTATTTCTTCAGGCTCTCTGCAGGTAGTAGACATCATATATGATGTACCTGCTGATTATTTTAAGGTACTCACTATAGTTCAAGGGTTTTTGACCGCCGGAGCTGGCAGAGTGGAAGTCACATTCTTGCGGGGCGCTATGGTCACCCCGGCACCAAAGACGTTGGTGCCTGTTGCCCAGATCGCGCGTGCTCCCTCGTAGATGACAACATTGCGATCAGGTTGGAGGATAAGGACGTAGTCTGCGATGCCACCATTGGTGTTTGTCGCCCACACTGCACGGCTGCCGGTGTATATAACGAAGTTCCCATCGCTCTGCATTGTGGCACGGCAGTTCGTTCCCCTGCCGTTTGTACCGGAAGCCCACACGGCACCACCATCGTACAATACCAGGTTGCAGTCGCTCTGCATAGTGAAAACATAGTTGTTATAGTTCAAGGATTGGCGTTGGGTGAGGGTCTGTCCGCTACGAAGGGTGTTCCTGGCCGAGCATGGGGACGAGAGAAGACATAGGAGAATCAGTAGGGGGAGGGAAATCAGCTTTCTTGCCGCCATCGTCGCTTGCCCAGAGTCTCGGAAGGCAATGCTGCTCTCGTAGGAACTTAAAAAACTGGGGGTGCAAGAACATCATGAAAACGCTCTCTATTTATAAGGACATGTAGTCATCCGATGAGAGCTTGGTGTAATGGTTCATGACTTCATGACTAGTCCTCAGGTAAGAGAGGATCATGACGATTGGGTGGCAAAATATTCGTCGAAGCCTGTCCACATTTAGTTGGCGGCAGATTCAATGAAGAAGCATTCAATGCGACTCGATTGACATGACGAATAGCGTCCTCTTTTACGTTCGCTTGGGCCACAGACTTTGATATCCCACCGATATGAGGCCGACATATCGATGCCAAATCACAAAGTGAAGGTACGACATGAAGTGGATTTATCTAGTTCCAGATGGACGGTCTGAAGAGAACCAGCTGGATTTTCTCATTCAGATGTTTTTTGGGGCGTCATTGCCTTCAATCATGCAATGTTTCTTTGATGACTTCTTCAAGAGATTTCAAGTTATGAAACCATTCAATACCGAGCATGTGGAGTTCACCAGGGACCATGGACTTCAATGTTCTACCCATGATCAAGTCACATGCTAAAGCCATATGAGAAGGTAGGTAGATGCTGTGCATTGCTTTCCACACAGAACATCACACGTAGACGGTCACGAGATTTGAAGTCCACCATGGACCACCGACTTCAATGTTCTACCCATGACCGAGTCACATACTAAACCCACATGAGATAGAGGTAGGAAGAAGTGGACACTGTGCATTGCTTTCCACCCAGAACATCACACGTGGACGGTTTTTATGAAGTATACCAGGATACGAGCCTCTGTGCCACACACTTAGATGGTTGGATAGCTTTACATCGAGGTAATTATTTTTTTCGGTTGTGCATGAATCAATGTTTTAAAGAAAGATTGTAAATTTCATCTTAACTTACGACTTAATGCATCAGTTGAGCATTTTGACTATATATTTCGACCTCAAGCATTTGAAACCCAGCCTTTTTAATGCCTAGTGCCAAGCAGATGCCAGCTACTTTAAAATCGGGGTAAATAAATCATTTCATAAATGGCAAGTATACTTGCCAGGAAGAAGAACTAAGATAAAAAAATATGAACTTGGTAAAAAAAAATTATTAAACTTTCAATAGGTCACAAATGTTGATGGCAATATATTGATTTTTGCTCTTAGTCCTTTTTTAGTAATGTTGAACGACTATTTTCTCTTCTGCAGGGTTTGTAAAAATAAAATAAGGTTGACATCAAAGGCTAGTAAAAGCTAAACTCTAACTTTTCTATTAGGCTTTTATGTTTAATATTACTAATAATCAGAAATGGAAAAATATAATCAGAATAGTAGCAAGAATAACTAACGAATTGAAATATAACCCATAATTTTCAAAAAGTACCAACTAAACTCAAATAACCAAAAACCAAAGATATTTTTAATGAACTAGGGCTGACTTATCATTACTTATACAAGACCTAAGCATGCGACTGGAAATAGGTGTTGACTTCAAGATCTATTATCAGTCAAAATGGTTTTCATTCTAAAACCTATATATATGATGAATGAATGGATTAAATTATATTGAATATTCATCATACACATTGTACACATGAAAGATCTATTCAATAGATGCTTGAAGTTAACTAAATAAACTCTTAGAGAAGTAATATTAATTATATTTCAAATGTCCAGAAGGTACATTGAAAAATCTAGTTGATTCTCAAATTTTAAATGCTCGATTATGATGAAGTTACTCTTCAAGATAATTACCTTATTTAAACATTATTACTGTCAACGAGTGGGAAATTTTCCATTGACTAATGATTTCGGCATAAATCTTTACCTAGATCTTTGATGTAAAAACTTGATATGAGATTCTATCAGTATAATATATGTCATATTGTGCAAATTATTACTTTAAATAATTTCAGTTAAAAATAGTTGATCAAAACTGAACCACATGGATGACAATTTGGGATTTTTCGAATATTATTGAATATAAATTTAATTATATTGGAAATTTGTTACTTCAATAGATGTGTTTTTCTTTATGTTTAAGATAAGACATTATTATTAAACACAGTATAACAATTACAATTAGGTAAAGATATTAATGCTTAATGGTTTCATTTACTTATTTAACTTGATAAGATATCCAAGGATGCATTGTATTGATTCTCATTGGTTAAATTTCTCACAAATTTTAGAATTTTAAAAGTAAAAGAATGGCAAAAGTTTGGAAAGGTTGTGAATGAAGTTCCTCCTTAAATTTAGCCTCTATTCAATTACTAATTTATCTTGAACATTAATTTATCACATCTTTAGACTCTTGAATTTCTTTGTAACAAATTTAATGAAAATTAATTAAATGTAAAATTTTTGCCATTTTAGATGTTTGGTCTAGAGGTGAAAAGACATAAGGTTGAGAAGTAAAATTGGATTGAAATGTAAAATTCCCAAACTTGATTTGGAGACCATTATGTTCACTTATCAGATAACTTAACTTCTATTAGAGAAAACAAAAGTCAAGCATAATTATTTTCATGTTCATTGAATATCCTGACATATTAAAATTTTCAATTTTTCTGAAAAAAGTCTCAATGATATTGTTATTATATTGTAAGGAATTGACTTATAATTAAATATTTACATAATCACTAAAGGGAGATATACCACTATTGGTCGTTCTAATCAAAATGACCAAATTTTTGTTATATAAGTGATAACACTCAAATTTTATGTGATAAAAAGTTAAAATGGTATAATAATAATCTCTATTTATGATTGAATGCACATATTTTAATTATAATACATTTTACTTGTGCTGAAATACTATATAGAAAATTCATGATTAAACTTGCATTTTGGATGAATTTACTTTGATATTTTAATCTTATGTGATAATGCAATCATCTAAGGTTTATTACCTTTAGAGTATAGACTTATCAGCTACTCTTTGTCCTATACCACTTGTGTTCATATTTAAAGGCGCTATGTTCACCTAAATCATTCTAATCCTTTATATTTTTCAGCTAATCTTGAAACATTTTAGACAGCATTTTTCTCTATGACATAAAAATTACCTCTACTTGATTGATCTCTGACACACCATGGTCTGCTTTGAACCTTCATTGCATCCCACTAGACACCCTTCTGGTTAGTTCACTGATTAACTTCTTATATATGACGAATGCTCGATCAGATGCTTCAATCATTAACTTTCTTCATCTAACTACTGAAAATTTTAAGAGAGAATTTTTTTAAGTGTGGGACGCTCTGTCGATACATTCTACTTTTTTAAAGCGGAGGTTTATTATTCATCTTCGTGCTTGACATTGAACTTTGTTTGCATCTTAAAAGAAACTATTCTGGGAACATGTAGAGGCCATTTTGTGTACAGAGTAGCTCCTCCTCTCTCCGGTCTCATTTCCAGATCTGTATACTGATGTACGGCGAGAGAGAGAGAGAGAGAGAGAGATGCATGGTCATGACGCAGCCATGTAGTAAGAGAATACGTACTTCGGGCTTCTGGGCCACCTTTGTTGGGCTTGATTTGGTTCTGCCTAAAACAAGAACGATCAGCCCAAATAGCCATTCAGGCTTGGCCCTTTGACATCGCTAACGCAGAGGCAGTGATATTTCGGGCTTGTAATGAGCCTAGGTAATGAGCCACATAAAGTTCAACTCTGGCCCACCCCTATAGGGCGGAGGGGTGAGTATGCGGCTGATTAATCGAAATGTGCGGAGGGACATAAAAGATGAACGAGTTTCCCACCGAGACTTGTTAAAAGATCAGGCTTTTGAGCCTCGATCTTTTAACAAGTTCAACTTTGCTTGGATTATTGATTATGTTGAATGACAACTTATACTTATAAGATATAATTTGAATTGATAACTTTTGGGTATATACATAAGTAGTTAATGGTCTTTAATATTTTATTTTTCCTAGAAGATATCCAAACATATCAATAACATATCATATTAATTTCTGACCAGTCGAATTTTAATTAGTTTTAGAATTTAAAATCGAGAGTTAGAAACAAATAAGGGAAGTCTCTAAATATGAATTCAGTATAAATACAATGTCTCACTGATGATTAATTAGTTTATATAGTCACTTCTAACCTTTCTGCCATCTGGATCTTCCTGAAATCTTTGTTGAGAAATTTATGAGATTTTTAGCAGTCATAGAAATTTAGTCAAACTGTAAGAAGCCACCGATTGAGGAGAAAAATTAAATTGATTCAAGTTCAATTTTTCACGCTTCTCATCAAATTTCAAACGTACTGCATGCCAATGTCATTATTTAGAAATAATTATGCTGAAATTCTTCAGTAGCTTTGTGAGAAAAAAATGTCGTTAAATGTAGATATAAACACTCAAGTGAGTTGATCATTGTAATGAGAAGAGGATCTCTTAGAGTCATAAATCTAGAAGATAAATTCAAAGAAAAATTCTATAGGATCTTAGCTCTTGACCATCAAGTTATATACTATATATATGGTGTATAGGAATGCACGAACATAATATATAAGGGTTTGGACAGAGCAAAGAAGATCAAGATCTTAGGTATAGTTCATCAAATTTCTTGAATCCCCTTTTTGATGAATCTAGCATAAAATCTAGCAGTATCTATATAAATTTAGGAATTTTTTCCCTAGTTGAAACATAGGACATATCTAGTTCTTTTTCTAGTACCTAGAAAATGCACTTTGATACTATACAAGTGATGTAGATCACCACCAAAAGAATCAAGAAAAACCCAAGACAACATGGACTATATGTTGATTCATAGGATATTAAAGTTTTACACTTTACTTTCATGGATCTTTTTTTTCCCTAATGTAATGTTTAAGGACAATGATACTTAATTTTAGCCTATTTAAAAGCCTTACTGTTGTAACATTGGGAGCACCATGAATAATTCAATTTTTCTCTCTTTGTGAGTTTTCTTTTGCTTGAAAATAGAAGAAACCTTCATGGATTTGAAGGAATTATTTTGCATTAAAACCTTTCTCTACTGATGAATAAACGCATTACATACTAGAGCATAGCATCTTTTTCAGTTAGTACTCTTCAATGAAAATGAATTGCTATGACCCAAGAGAAACTTTTGAATCGTCCCTTACATACCATCAAACCATCAAACTAAGGGATCATAGAATTTCACAAGTCATGAAGTATTAAATTCTTTGTAAAGAAATTGCAAAATTTTATGATTATAGTAAAGCATTCAAACTAACCCATATATTCTCACCATTTATTTGAATGGCATGAGAAGTAGAAGCTAATAAAGAGTACCTCAAAATATGAATTTTAAGCAAAAGATTCACCAGTGTAAGTTGAACATGATGTTTGAACTAGTTTTGTAGATGACCACTTAAAGTATTGACGCTTTTCCTTCAAATGACTAAGAACGAGTTCAAGAACCTTTATCATGCAAGTATCGTACCCAATAAAATTTAAAATAATATATATAATATGATCTACTTTTGGAATATGATAGAACTTTCACTTCATATGATCTTAATTTTATTACCATAGTTAAGTTAGGTACAAGTATTGAAAGACGAGCTCAAGTCTATTAAAGATAACTTGGGCACTTGGTTATTGAGTCAAGTTCGTACTTTTTGAAGACTGTAGGTTCTGATTTATATTGTAATGTTAGTTAATTTGATTAGTAGTCTTATTATCATTGGGCATCTTCTCATGACAAATAATGGAAGTAATATGGAAAAGGGAGAGTTCAGATGTTTCTAGCCCTTGAGGTCAATCTCATGTTATTATTGCCAAACCATGTAATGAAAAAAAAGGTTTTTCCACATTACTCAAATAATTAATTGTAAATATGAATATATTTACAATAACACTACTGATGTATTCTGTCTAATTCATGTCAGTTTATCTAATTTATTTCTTCTTTCTAGCAAAGTATACTTGCCATTTATGAAGAGACCACTTTACTACTGTAAAATAGTAGGCATCTGCTTGTCACTAAGCATTAAAAAGGCTGAAATTTTCAAATGGTTCACGCAATTCATGTTCTAATTTCAGAGAAAACTTAGAAGCTTTCTTTAGGGCATTAATTGGTGGAAGAAAATTTATAATTTCGCATTTAAACCTTCCATATCTAATTGTAGCTGTACGCCACTTCGGCTTCTGCCTAAAATATCTCAGTATATTTGACTACTGGGATATTCTGAGCGGCGAGTAGTGCACACAGCATCCACTTCTTCCGACCTACTTTACTGTATGGCTATCCATGATCCTGATTGGACTTCAAAGCTCGTCAGTCTTATGGCTTTACTGTATGTGTAGAAGTCCATGAGCTACAGTGAACTTCAATACTCAAAAATTCCATGTATTCGGTATCTCTAAAGATTCCACATTTTCTAAATACATAAAATTTATTTCAAGAATCATTTCAAGATTGAAGGCAAAGACTTCCCAAAAGTCACTACGAGAAAAAATTTAGCTGGTTCTCTTCACATATCCAGAACTCTAAAGATCCACTTAATTGTAATTCCTATCAATTATATGGTGATATAAAGGATAGGTAATGCTATGTATTGCTATGGGCGAGAAACTAGTTTAGGTATTCCACCTCCGCCTGTACCAACTACTGCAACTTCTTATTTGTTTCTAATTACTACTTTTTTCTGAGTTTCAGTTTTACTATTATTCCACCTGAATTTAATGAGATTGATATACTCCAAGGTAATGAGCAGTAAATCCGATAACGAAAACGTGAGATATTAGCATGATCAAAACTTTATATTGACGATATTCTTCTTTGCAAGGTGACTTATGGCTGCCACTTACATCGGTGATCTTTTAGTCTTCAGCTTGTAATTTGGCACTGATATCTGGGTTTCTCACAGATGGGATATCGAAGTTTGGGGCTCAGGTGAACAGAAACGGCGAGAATATTCGTCATGTGCATTAACTAGAATTGAATGCTTTTTCTTCATTGAATTGCCAAATAAATGTGGATACTATTTCATCTTTCTGCCACCCACTTGTTCTTATCTTTTCACTTGCATGACGACTAGCCGTGAACAACATTACGCCACTTGCAAGTTCGCGTCGGAAGTCACCATGTCTTTCGTATAAAATAGATGGCCTATGCATGATCTTGTTGCACCCAGTTCCTGTTCAAACGATAGCAGCATTGTCTTTTGGGACTTGTGGGCAGCAAAGATGGTGGCGAGAAACATCATTTCCCTCCTCCTACTGATCCTTCCATTTCTTCTCTTGTCTCCATGCTCGGCCAAGAGCGAGCTTGACGGCGGAGAGAGTCTCGTCGCCCCCGGATACCTGGAAAATGGCAGATTCACTCTCCGTATGCAGCTCAACTGCAACCTAGTGTTGCGGTACGATAGCGTTGTCGTGTGGTGTTCCGGTACAGCTGGCAGGGGAACGGATTGCAGAGCCACAATGCAGAGAAATGGGAACTTCGTTATACGAAGTGGCAGCACTAAAGTGTGGGAGACCAACTCCGCCGGTGCCATCGGAACTTACGTCCTTGTCCTCAAAGATAACGGCAATCTTGTCATCTATAAGGGCCAAGGGCAAATAATCTGGGAAAGAGGCACTAGGGCCTGTACTGCTGTGCCGACCATGGCACCCCTTAAGAACGCGTCCTCCATTCCTGCAGATGTTGCGACTATAAAGCCATAAATGAAAGCAATAATTATGTCCATCGCATCTGACTCTACTCCTAGTGAGCTGGAACAGATAATAGGTGAGTACTTGTGTGCGTAGAAGGTGACTTGTCTACTCTCATCCCCTCGTAGGGAGAATAACACTCCTTGAAGTTGAGGAACAGAGCAAATCTTGTCTCATGAAGTATGATTATGTTTTTCTTCGCCAATAGAAAAGATGGATCTTTCTTGCATCTGCATAAAGGGTAACTTGTGGCTACTATATACGATGTCTTGTAAGGAAGAAGGAACCATGCCTACCGGGTTCCTGACTCATTCATTAATCTACATATAATATCAGAGGAAATGCACAGGCTTCTGGGCCTTTGTGGCCCAGAGACCTAAGGGTAAATAACCTTTTAAGTGTTATACGATATAAGACCAAATAGTGAGTAAGAAACCATCAGAATATTCATACATGTAATCTGGCCGGTGAATTGTCGGAAACTTCCTATTTAAGCCAGCTGGACCGACCCATTCTGCCAAATACATGTCCCTCCCCCCTCCTCTTTTCCCGCTCATTATCGACCGGAGCTCGGAGAGGGAGAGTTAGAGCGGAAAGAGCCAGAGAATCTCTCCGGCCGCCGTGTGGGGAGGAGACCTCTCTCATCGGTTGTAAGCTCCCTCGCGTTGATCGACGTATTCCCTTGATATATATCTCGGATCCGAGAGTCTGAATTCGCCACCATGAATCGTGACTGAACTCCGCTGCTGCTGTCTGAGCCGCGTGATGGAAATCAGCATGGATGAGAAATCCGACAGTATGATGCAGATTTCATGGAGGCGATCGAAGTTCCATAGTCCAGTTACGGATAGAAATAAAAAATTCGGAGGAATTTTTAGGCGCTTTTCTCTCTTCTCGTCTATATTTTTTCTCAACTGGTCAGTTCATTGATCAGCTTCTTATATATGAAAACTGCTAGCTCAAATACTTAAAAACGTTTTTCCTTGGGCTTACTGCTGAAGAATATTTAAGAGTAAACGTTGTTTACTGAGGCAAAAATTGTCACTCCATTGTAATTTTTTCACAGCACAGGTTTATTATTTATTGCCATGCTCGATTTTCAACATTCATTGTACTGTAAAAGAAAATATTCTAGGCACATCAAGAGGCCATTTTGTGTTTGTGATCTTGTATATAGAGTATTTCAAGGGATCCTCGTAAGTGTGTTCTTGACTGGCTCAAATATAGTTCCATCGAGCTTCACATTTCTCAAAACAGTTTTTTCAGTTTCCTGCCATCGATATCAGGCACATTTCCATTGTGTTGAAGGAAGGCTATAATTTCTATATATGTCCCTTGGGGGCAGCTTCAGCATGCTTACCTTCATGTTGTAAAAACTTTTGGGATATTGTTTACTTGTAGGTTTAGTCTTTTTACTTATTCAGTGTTGTTTGGTGACATATTGTTAAGCATTGAAGTTGGTTTATCATGTCTAATATCATGTTAATGTGGTAATAAGTCTTAATTCTTATGAGTTAATAATTGATTAATATTATATGTGACTAATGTAAAATTTTGGCTAATTTTTTATTTTATGTGAATTTATATAATTTTTAGATTAATATTTTTGAGTTAAAATAGAGAAAAAAAATGTAAGAAAATGAGGAACCTACTAACCAACCAAGACACGATAGTGACCTAGAGGGTGTTGCAAACATGTTGGAAGCATAGTTATGGGAGCCATAAGTTAGGGCCTTAATAAGCTTTTATTATCATGAGTTAATAATATATTAATAATATATTAATAATATCATGATAAATTTAAGTTAAATTGAGAAAAGTAATTTTTTATTAATTAATATTATTTTTAACTAATTATGTAAATTTATATGATTTGTATAAAGATATTTTTAACATGCCTAAAAATAAATATAAAAAATAGAAAAAGGAGGGACCCACAAGCTAGCCAAGCTCAATGAGTCGGAAGCACAATTGAGGGACCCACTAGCTAGCTAGACACTCAAGTGGATTAAGAGCATAGTCTAGTGGAGCCACAAGTAGGGAGGGGCCTTGAGTGGCTAAGGAACTAGTCAATAGGTTTTAAAGTTAGTTTTCTGTGTTTACTTTTTGAACTAGTAGAATAAATATAAGATATATTGTTAATTTTAAAAGTCTAATGTTAAAATACTTAGTATAATTTTAAATTATTTAAAAAAATATAAAAAATAATCCCCGTGCTAGTAAGCCGACACTTGGTAGCTGACCTAGAGGGGTGCTATGGTCAAGTGGGTAGACCTAGATCGAGAGAGCCACGAGCTAGGCTTGATGGTGAAGGACTCGCTCCATGCAAATATGCATCACTCCCCTACCACATCTTGGTGGCCAACTAGTCATAGAGCAAGAAGCGTCGTACATATGTATGCATGCAAAGGTGGACCACCTTTTTGCCTTCTCCCAAGATGGTCTTAGGTATTATTTTATTTTGAGAGAAGGAATTTCTAATGAGAGACAATAGCTTTGATTTATATTTGGCCCATGCATCCAAAATATTTTCGATGTGGAACTAAAGGTTTTCATCTATCTCGAGATAGTCATCTAGAGCACAGTGTAATTTAGTAGTATTCAATGAGCCACATCATCAGATAAGCGTGATCCTATGGTGGGTTAACTGTCACAATACTATACACGTAAAGTGATCAATCGATGGTTTACAAATCCGACACTGCTCAACATGCACATGGCTTTAAAGGATAATCCGATGGCTAAGGAGTCACCATAGTACCAAGAACTTAAGTTCTTGATTAGCAATGGTTCGTGGTGATTTGATCCTACGTTGCTCAGCATGCCACGTGGCTAAACACATCTGATCTAGCGGCTCACGAAGTGTCACGATATCAAAAACTTAAGTTCTCACACGTATCACTATTAAGGATATAAATAAAATAATTAATTATTGTCTAGTAAAATAGACATTATTGATTATCTTTAAAATCTTGATGGCAATCACAAATACAACAATCTGTTTTCTCCCTCCTTTTGCACAATCAATGCCTTCAGCTATTGGCAATTTCATTCCTTCCTCCCCTGACTACACTCAAGGCCTCTAACGAGTGGTTAACTCTTCCATTTTCCCCCTAGATGACGGTGACAACATGGTTGACCCCTCTTTTAATGGGTCTCTCCAACAAGTAGCACAATACTTTTGAACGATATTACTACTATTTATGATGTGGTGTGGCATGTCTAGACAAAACTAAGCCACCACACTAATGTCTCTAGTTGCCTATGAGACAAACTAAACTTAGGCAATAATTTATTTCCTTCTTTCAATGATTTACTTCTTACTTTTGTCATTTATATATGTACTTTTAACATTTTTTTACATTTTATGATAATTTATTTTCATTTCATATATATTTTGATTGAAATTAGAAAAACTAATTCAAAACTTGATGAATAATCTTTCTTTTCTTCTGAGCCCTCTAAAACTCATCTGAAATCAAGCTAAGATTATTTTTAACTTATTTTCTATTAGTTTTTGCAGTCAAATCTTGACATATTTATGTCTTGATGTTCCATGAATAATAAGTATTTTTCTACTATCAAACATGAAATCATCGAGATTAAAGGCTGATTAATGACCGCTCAATGGTTAAAAAAAAATTAGAGACATTCACGGCTGACCTTATGTTATATGTGTGAATTCTTGAGCACATATTCGTCCGAGATCTCATGGTCACCATGAAAATAGGTTAATCGTATTTCTCTCTTTCTTTATTTTCATCTTATTTTTCTCTCTCCCTCTCTCGTGAGACCTCTTCTTCTCTCTCCATCTCTCGTGAGATCTCTCTCTCTCTCGATCAATCGATCAGTCGATCAATCGATCTCCTTCTCTTTCTCTCCCTCTCTCTCTCTTTCATGAGACCTTTCTCTCTCTCCATCTCATATTAGATTTCCTCCTCTCTCTTCTCTCTCCCTTCTCTCTCTCATGAGATCTTTCTCTCTCTCCATCTCACGTGTGATTACTCTTCTCTCTTCTCTCTCTTCTCTCTCTCTTTTCCTCCTTTTTCTCCATTTCCCTTACTTTATTCTTTTCACCCCACCTTTCTATTTTATTATTTCTATTAAATATTATTAAAACATTAAAATCATTTTATAAATAAACTAAATTAATTTTCACAATGGATTAATCAATCTCACTATGTTCAACTTGAGACTTACTTCTATACTAATATTTTATTAAGTCATAATTATAAATATTATTAGATAATGTACATTTAAACACAATGACAAGTGCACATTAATAGGGCATGTGCAAGCAAAGGTATTTACATACTTATTGAACTCTTTCTTATACAGGTAAGAGATCCACAAGGGTTTGAATCGTACCAAAGCCAAAACTCATGTTTTTATTTGATTAAATCATGATTTTTTTGCAAAGCATCTATCAACGATTAAACTACTAGAATCACTTAATCATTAGTAAAAAATGTCATCAACAATATTTGTGAAGTATCCTTACCAACTAATAGATGATTCTAGATAAAAAGATTATCAATTCATCGAAGAAATCATCTTCGATTAATCGATAAACAAGTCGTTATTGAGAAGAATACAGTCTGTCAAGAGACAAGTTGTCACCTATTGAGAGCATATTAGATGCGATGAAGAACCTTCTCTTACTACAAGAACCAAAGGATGAAGTTCTATAAGACATGCCTCATGTCTATGTAACTTATTTTTGTCGGGTGATAGTCATAGGAGATCTAAAAAGTTATCATTTTTTCATTTCATTGAGTGACACCAACCAAAGATGATTCATTGACTCATTTTATTAATTTCTAGACTTCATAAGAAAATCTAAAGATTGCCAACATCATCTATGTCTAAGGGAAGCCTTTAAAACCATGGACATCACATAATAATTTTTTCAAACACAGAATTTCGATAGTTGTTATAGCAAAACTAAAAATTTGCATGTCCTACTTTAAATTTAATATTTTTTTAATTTATTGAGATTTTATGTGATTCTA